TTCATATATTATAACTTCTGAAACCCTGTCTCCAAGTGGATCTGGGCTCTGCCCACTTTGGAGATCAGCTTCTAATCATATCAAGTTTGTGAGCCTTGCACTGATGGAAATCTACATCCCTGGATTATTGGCACGACAGACAGACAGATATACAGACAGAGACAGACAAGACCAGGCAGATGGAGATGGCTTTTTGTGTTAACATGCTTTTGCCTAGTATCAAACTCCCTACCATTTGGGGAGGGGAGAAGAGAAAAATGTGTTACCAATAGAGGAGAATGTGTTTCAATTATATTAGCACATTGCACTGTCTGCTGAAGCTGCTTCTAACTGCATTAAATTGGATTAATGGAGAAATCTCCTGCAGTTCAAGGACAGAATGCAATCTCAAAGTGCTGCTGCTTCACTTCGCTGTCAGCTTCATGTCATAGAGCAGAGAAATGATTTAGCACCTATCAAAAGAAATCTGCAGAGGAAAGTAACTGAGGTGAGTTGGGGGACAGTATTTGAGAGAGGTTTTTTCCCCACAGAAAGACACCAAGGCCAATTTGTGCTAGATCCATAGAAATATAAAGAGAAGAGACCATGAATTGAGGATGCTATTCTGTGCGACATAATCAGACTATTGCTCCTATCTCAGTGATGGCGAACCTTTTAGAGACCGAGTGCCCAAACTGCAACCCAAAACCCACTTATGTATCGTCGGGTGCCGGGTGCGTGTGGCCCATTGGGTGGGTGTGGCTGTTGTGGTAACGGCAGACTGGGTGGGACTAAAAAGTTCAATCAATCAATTCCAACTTTGGAAGATCTTTTTTTTTGCCCACGAGAAGTTGAAATTGACTGATTGGTTGAACCTTTTTTTTTTTTGCACATGGCGGTGGAGGCCTAAAGCGAAAAGGTTTTATAAAACCCAGCTGAAGGTCTAGGACTGGGGTGACGGCACGTGTGCCCACAGAGAGGGCTCTGAGTGCCGCCTCTGGCACCCATGCCATAGGTTCGCCACCACTGTCCTATCTAGTTCAGTGTGCTCACCAGGCTTACCCTGATCTAGTGACCCTCACGTTGGGCTGGATTGCAACCTGCCTCATCACCAATAAGCACGGCCAAATTCAGTGCTGGCAAGGGACAATGAGAGTGACAGACCTCCTGAACATAGGTCCAGCAAGGAACAATCTTTATCAGTCCAATTTTGGAGACTGAACCTGAAACCTTTTTGCATGGAAAGCACATGTTCTTTCTTTAAACCGTGAACAACCAGCCTTACGGGACTTGGGAAGCATGCCTTTTTGATATTTGCCTCTTGGTTCTGAAACAATCTCCCTCAGATAGGTCAAGGTCAAAGTTACCTCTGACTCTAGGGCCGTGGTGGTGAACCTATGGCACACGCGCCACAGGTGGCACGCAGAGCCCTCTCTGTGGGCACACACACCGTTGCCCCAGTCCTAGGCCTTCAGCTGGATTTTATAAAACCTTTTCACTTTAGGCCTCCGCCGCCGTGTGCAAAAAAAAAAAAAAAAAGGTTCAATCAATCAATTTCAACTTTTTGCAGGAAAAAAAAGATCTCGCAAAGTTGGAATTGATTGATTGAACTTTTTAGTCCCACCCAGTCTGCCGTTACCACAACAGCCACGCCCACCCAATGGGCCATGCCCACCCAGCACCCGACGATACATAAATGGGTTTTGGGTTGCAGTTTGAGCACTCGGTCTCTAAAAGGTTTGCCATCACTGCTCTAGGGGGCAGTGCTGATCTCCATTTCTTAGCCAAGGGAGCCAGTGTTGTCCAAAACTGCTTCCGGAGTCATGTGCCCAGCAGGACTATTTGCAAAGGCACACAGAATGACATTACATTCCCACCAAAGTAGTACTTATTTGTGTAGTTATTTGTGTAGTTATTTGTGTAGTTATTTGTGTAGTTGTGTAGGCAGGACAAGAAGCAACGGGTGGAAACTAATCAAGGAGAGAAGCAATCTAGAACTAAGGAGAAACTTCCTGACAGTGAGAACAATTAACCAGTGGAACAACCTGCCTCCAGAAGCGGTGAATGCTCCAACACTGGAAGTTTTTAAGAAGAGACTGGACAGCCATTTGTCTGAAATGGTATAGGGTTTCCTGCCTGAG